CTTTCTTTTGGTGGTTGACTGGATTATGAAGACCTCCACATCTGAGGGAAAGCACGGAATAAAATGGGCAGTTCAGAACCAATTAGACGATTTGGACTTCGCAGATGAACTAGCCCTCCCATCCCATACATACGAACAAAGTCAGATAAAGACAATTAGTGTAGCAGCAGCCTCTGCATCAATAGGCCTCAAAATACACAAAGGAAAAAGCAAGATACTCAAATATAACACAGGGAACACCAACTTAATCACACTTAATGGCGAAACTCTGGAAGATGTGAAATCCTTCACATACCTGGGAAGCATCATCGATGAACGTGGAGGATGCGATACAGACGTAAAAGCGAGGATTGGCAAAGCAAGGGACGCATTCCTACAATTAAAGAACATATGGAACTCAAAAAACTTTAAACCAATAAAAAATCAAAACCTTCAGTACGAACGTCAAGACAGTTCGAGTGTAATGAGCTGAAACTTTGAGAACTACCACAACCATCATCAAGACGGTACAAGTATTTATAAATAATTGTCTGCGCAAGATACTCAACATCCATTGGGCGGATATCGTCAGCAACAGCCTTCTGTGGGAAATAACAAACCAGCTGAAGAGGAAATTAGGAAAAAACGTTGAAAGTAGATAGGACAAACATTGAGGAAACCACCAAACTGCATCAAGAGACAAGCAGTAACTTGGAATCCTGAAGGGAATTGGAAAAGAGGAAGGCCGAAAAACACATTACGTCGAGAAATAGAAGTAGATATGTAAAGGATGAATAACAACTGGCAAGAGTTGGAAAAGATTGCTCAGGGCAGGGTTCGATGGAGAGTGCTGGTGGGCGGCTCATGCTCCTCCACGAGGAGTAACAGGCGTAAGTAAGTAAGTTTCACTATCATATTAACATATTATCGCTGTATACCTATGTTCCAGAGATCCAGAAAATTCCTTGAAAAAAGTCAAAAAGGTTCTGAAGACTGAGAAACATCTTATCAAATCAATATCCAATAGAAGTTTTGCCAGAAACATCTAGAAAGTGACAAGTCACATTTCGCGTTTCTGATTTGATGATTAGCTATGCTGTTACTATGTTTAGTAGTGTTCCAGAAATTTCCGAAAGCCCAAGACCATTTAACATACTATAGATACCCTAAATTTTCTGTACACAAACGAATTTCGGAGTGAAGCGTTCTTTCTATATTTCGCGCCTTTTCTCTCGTGTTCAAGTTGCTGTGTAGATTAGCCTGAGGGGGATACTAGAGAACTTAGGAAACAGAATCTGGAGTTCAGTTAGAAGAATTACCAACCTGAGAGAGAAAAATATATTTCAAACCATCCGTTATGTAAACATTAACTTAACCTTTACATAATATAAAGATCCATTATTATGTTTTTTAGTCAACATTTCTTCTATGATTTCAGAACCACTTAATAATTCTTATGGTGATGATTATTGTTACATTTGCCACTTATTGTGTCTGAGATATGTTTATTTAACTTGTGCTTGTCACTGAAACCCACCGAATCCGATGCTGCGTAGTGGAAACACAAAGAACTGCTAATACGGATTTATTTGACTTCCAAAATAAGTCAAAATGATCTATGAATACACCACTTTTTAGATGATGTATTTACATTTATATTAACAGTACTGATCTGAGCAGTACTTAACGCCAATTAATCAATAACTAACTGGGTGAACACTTTTACAATATCATACAATTAAGCATATATCATTATCGCATAACTAAGTCAAATCATCACTCCTCGAAACGTGATTACATGTTATGGACAATTATCCGCAAATAATTTCACACCGCATTCACGCTCCAATCATTGCTCGCTATGCCAGTTATATGACTGAATAAATATTTCCACAGTAGAAATCACAAGTTGATCTACGCTAGAACACCACCCTGAACACAGGACTTGAACCCAGGGCCTTCGGTTCCGCGTGCGGATACCAATGAGCTGGCATCTAACGGTGTTAATATCTAACTTCAATTGATGAATGATCTTGTGCAACCCGTCATTCATTGTGCGAGATCGTGGGAATTCACCGCTGACGAGTTCCATACTAGAACGAAATGGTCGTTCAATGTTTCCAGATTTTCAGTGGTGATTTAGCTTAGACAGACTCATGAATTCTACTTTGGTCTACCATAATCTCCACAAATCCCCCTTATTGGGAATAAATATTTAACAGTGAAATGTTTTTTCCACCTTTAACAATGACCCAATCGATTTCTCATGCTAGATTCTGTAACTGGAGGAAATAAAGTTTGCTGCTCAACGATTTGTAGTAGTTAATTATCTAACGGAGGCAGTAAAGTTACCAGTATTATAATTCCCTGTTATTTCACGTACTAGTTGCTACACTTATAATGAATATGAAAAGTTTCATATCGCCTTCCATGTATCCACTTTTGAGGGAAACGTAGAGGTTGTTTATTTAATTTAACACTATCTAATTACTGTAAAGTTGTAGTAAAATAGAAACAAGTGATTGATTGTAGGTTATGTCAGAGTTATGAATTTTGATAAGTGAAAATTTTAGCCTGCATGTGAAGCCAAGGGCGGAAGATTTCATTTGTTTATGGTATGTTTTGGTCTAACTTCATTAAAACAATATTCATCTTACTGATTTACCAGAATCATTTCAAATTTTACACTGAACAGTAAGCATTGAATAGTTGAAATAAAATGTCAACTATATTTATACTTTATTTGAAAAACAGTTTTTATTGACCTGGCTTTTTACATTGACTTTAGTACATAATTTTTATGAACTGAACAACGTAGCTAGTGGTGGTTTTTATTCAGTTTCATGCTAAAAAATATCAGTATTTCACACTCGATGCACTTTTTGTTTGACACTAATATCCATTCTCTTTTTTAAAAACTAATTATAGTGTTACCACGAAATATTTGACTTTTGGTTTAAAATGTTTTAGACAACCTGTTATCGAATTCCTATCGATTTGACAGAGAAATATTCTTCGAAAGATGAGATTTCTTACATTTTGGATAAATCTTTTTTGATGAATCATAACAACACAAACAGCAATATATCGGATAATAACAGTAATAACAAATCAAAAATACCATATGTTGAGCCAGATAATTTGATAATAGTAACAACGAATTCATCATGCTGTGACAGTTTTCTTCGATGTTTCTCTCTTCCACTCAATTCTAGTGGAAATGTGAACAGTTTGATAAGAGATTGGACAATTGATTTTTACTGGAACCGTACACCAGAAATGTACGAGTTTGGTGAAGAGGGTTGGAGTAGTGTTGGTTCACCTGTTGGCGCATTATCAGGTGTTTATGATCTGGTTGATGTGAAACTAAAGTACCGTTTTGATAGAAATTCTGGATTTGACTTTCTAATAAGTGGAAATGGTATGTTTAGAGGTTACTTCATTTTATTAAACTATACTATTCTTTGCAATGAAGAGGTTTACGTTTTGTTTTGCTTAAATTCACCTTAAGAAAACAGTCGTCAAATATACGCCTTTTAGTTGTGAGTGGTTGTTAGTTATTGGAAGAGTCTTGAGGCTCGAATTCCTTCTTCTTGGTCATCATTAGCAAGTCATACCAACGATCGTTTACTCCCTTAGTGGATACAAGCCTACATCACATAGTAGTGCAGTAACAAATCCCATGATCAGTCTGCTTGAAACATGTTACAACTCCGGTAAAACTAAAATATATATGCTAATCGGTTGTTGATCGGCAACCGATCCAGCGATATCTGGTCTATAACTGCTCTAGAATGGTACATTGATAATTAACGATTATTGGAACTATTGGTGATTAGCAGTTAGTATGTTATTTCTCTTAAATGCATCTGATTTGTTGGAAGAGAGCCAATTTCTTCGTACCAGATCCTTGAATTCTGTGATGCTGAAATCTAAGGTGAAAATATCTGTTGTTCCATCGCGTCTATACTAACTTACGTAATTAATGATTTGAATTTTATATAAGATAATCGATAATTACATTTTTTATTAAACAGTTTCTGGTTCTCTATTGTAGCTGAATTTATTTTGTAGGTGCTACCATGTGATCACGTTTTGTAAATAAGATAATAATAATTTATTAACTTATTTTCATTCTGCATGCTTTTGTTGTTGTTTTTTCACCTCTGTGTGTATAAAAATACCGTTTCTACTCTCAAAAAAATATTTTTAAAGTAGAAGCATCATTGATAATGATGATAACGAAACAAAAAAATCGACTTGAAGATTCCATGAAGTAATTGTTTATGTTTCGTCTTAACGTTTATTTAATTTCTTCAAATGTTTCGAAACCAAATAACTATCTTATTACTCTGAGTCATGAAATTAAAGTTTTAGCGTTGTTATTAAATAGCAAAAGCAACTGGTAACAGCAAGTAAAAGGAGGAAATTTCATTCCAGTCACTATTAAATCGGACTTAATAAGTAGACATTGTTATATGCATATTGTACTTCGAAATTGCTTGAGGTGACTAACTCTTTGACATTTGTAGATAGACGAGTCCAAATTTAATGATTCTCTTCATTGAAAAACTGAATGTATTTTGCAGACAAACACTATATAGAATGCACAGGCCTTAGTTTTGAAAACAGTATTTTCAAACTACGTTTTTTCACATCAGCGGTTAAAAATGAAATTTCTCTATCATTTATAGATGGTCCAGGTGAACAAAAGAATGTTTTGTCAAATTTAAAAAAAAAAATGATATTTATACAATAATACCACTAATTCTGAATTTTCAGATAAATCTTCTAATGAGCAAAATGGAATGTTTTGAACGAAATCCACTATATAAAAATAACAACCAGAAAGTTTAACAAAATAATATTCAATTTCTTTCAACTTTATAAAAATCACAATTGTCTTAGTTTCAATTTTGTGTCTTAAATAATTTGATTATAATAATCGAAATGAATAGAGATTGAAGGTGGTTAGCAGTAGTATTCAGGACGCTCGTTAGATTCTACTTAGAACTTTTCGGTTGAATGTGCCTGCATCCGAGTTCAATCACTTTGAATACCATCACACTACCTAATTAGCTACTGGAATCAGTAGCCGGTTCGAGTCCCAGAGTGAACATTAACTCTGAGATTCAGGTAAGCACAGTTGACCAGTCTGAATAGAACCAAACATCCATCCTGAATTCCACTACTTAAAATTGCTTGTGACTTATTGGTAATACTGAGATAGTATGCATATATGCCAAAAGAAACTGATCAATCATAGTCGTAAATATCAATGAGAAGATTTAACCAACCATTAGATATAAATTAAATAATATCTAGTTTTTTCTTTTATTCAATTACATTTTCGTATATCAAAATGAAGAGTTTGTCTAATAAAATTTTTACTTTAGCCTTAAATTAGAATGAAAAGCTTACAGATCATGTTCACAGATAATTGAATAAATTAATCAGTAGATATTTGTGTGAAGAGATTTATTTTATTTAAAAATTATCGGTCAATTCAAATGTTGTGTAATAAGTGGATCCATAAACTGATTTATATTTTTCATTGTTTATCATTAAAATTATTTTATAATAACCTACACACATAATTCAATAGTTGGTTTAATTGAATGAATATTCATTAAAAAAAAACCCAATATGAATGAAAAAAAAATAATTAAAAATTAAACAGTTTCTCATTCATAGTCCATATATATCAAAAGTATTTTATAATAATTATTCATAAATCATGCAAAAATCAAATGATTAAAACTAAAAATAATAATAATTATTATTATTTAATTAAATAGTGGAAAAATGAAATAGGGGGTTATGGAAATTTAAAATTCCTGTGACAGTCATAAAACTTGAAGCTTTCCTTCTTAACGTACACGTATCAGGCTTGTATCTGTCGATAATGAGGGCTCGGACAAAATGCATTGGTTATTACGAACCGTCTAACAATGTCAATAGTATATGTTCAGTAGTTAATAATCTGAAATAAGTTACTAGCAAAAGTGCAATAGTTATTTACTTATGTTGTTAGAAGCTTTGATCTCCTAGATATTGATTTATTAGTATGGAATAAAACATGGTATTCCAAATTAGGATGAAGTTTCAATCATTTAATTTTTTTGTTTAAAGTTTATCAGTTGAAACTCGAATAAAAAATTAGTCTTCAAACTACAGTAAGCTTCTATAGAACATTAAAATGACAAAACATTTGTTAGGACTTTCAAAATTTTTCTAAAAAGTGTGTTTTTTGATAACTCACAAATGTACATAAATTTTGATAGATACTACTCCAACTAAATGGGCAACGAATTCTTAAATTTCAAAGATTTGGATTTATTCCAAGCTCATTGTGTCTTCCACTTTTTTCTTGAACATTTGATCCACCAAGCGACATCAGTTATAGGATCTACTGTTCGTTTCATGGTGTCATATCATAAATCAGCATCATTTGGTTTTTATAATTACTTTGAGCATCACTAGATATTATTGAGTATGATAACCACAGAACAACCATATCTAAAACGACTTAAAGTCATGTGCAGTTCAAACGGGATTTCAGTATTTATGATTGTATAGTAATCAAATCTCTAAGGTGCTAGCAAAAGCAAGTATTTCCAATCGCGGTCTCTGTGGTAATTGAATTTTGCTGAAAATAAATCCATGCTCAGCATTTGGTCGCTGGGTGATAATCAGCGTCGAGTTTATTTACTGCACAGTGTTGATCGATTCCCATCAATATAAAGACTAATTCTTTCAGTTCGACATCGGAGCTATTGTTTCAACCAAGAAACTGGAAGATATGAGTTCAGATCTTATTTGGTAACATTAGTTTTCCGAAGACTGACGATAGTTGATAGTAAAAAACACTACCCAGCACAAAACTTAGGTTCAAAGGTTCTGTAGATCATCTTTGAGAATTTAATGTATCTTGATGTTGCATAGCTAATAGTTTCTTTCCACAAAATGAAAACCATGTAATACCATAGCATACAGCAACAATGAGGGTATTCCTATGCTGATAGCTTTTTTGTAAATGAAACTACATCAATGGTTTTCAAGTTGTCAAGTAGAAGTTTCTGCTGTAATGTAGCTCCGTTATTTTTAATCAGTATGAAATGTTCAATTATATTTCTCATAAACAAAACAGAATTAATGAATTCTGTTTTGTGCTATAAACCAACAAAATGTCTTAGTAAACCTTTAGAACAAAATGTATATCAACTATTTTTTTTAAAGAAAAATAATTTAATAGAAATTATTTGTCTTAATTAAAAATTCAAATGAATTGCATGAAAACAAATTTATGCAAATATGTTAGTCTATTAAGTTTGATTAATACGATGTTGTTCAATATTTCGTTATAACACATTTCAAAAAAAAATATTTTTCCTTATAAATGAAGTAAAATTCATGAGATGTGATAATTCTCTAGTTTTCTATTGATATAAAAGAAAACAAGAACATTCATAATTCGTCGTAGATAGAAACGTCCTAGTTATGGATATTTTAATTAAGAGCGACTTAGAACTATTTTCAAATTATTTGCATACAATGAAGTGTTCTGGATATTTATATTAAAATTGAGAACTGGTTGGACTAGTCAGCTGCTTTGTCCTCATTTTTGGCGTTCGAATGCAGTGTACATTTGACTATAAGGTGGGACATCGAATTTAGGACTTTAGGCTATTAGACAAGCATCAAACCATTTAGTTACTGGGTCAGGATAAAGTGGTCATCATAACCAACTTTAGACAATCGGGTATGTAGTAGTTGTCATCAAGAGTCCTGGGAGAGTAAATTACTCGCTGCCGATTGAAAAACGCCACTGACCACGGTTTCCTACTAGAACGTTTGGAAACCAATATCAAAACAAGTCGATGAAAAAGCATAAAATTTCATTGAAATCATAAATTCGGATGCTGACTCACTGGTCTAGATGTCAAGCGTTCATGTATTAAACTGAAGGTCTTGAGTTCGATTCCCAAGGGTGGGATGGTGAATGCACATTACTGCGAAGTTCCATAATAGACGAAATGTCCGTCACTGCTTCCAGGTTTTAAATAGTGGGTCTAAGATTAATTGATGATTTAAGAAAAATTCGACAATCTCTACAACCCCTTACTGACTGGTATCAAATTGTTTTTGTGATAGGTAGTATATGAAGATTTGATGCTTTATAAAGATGATTCTCGTCACGTTCTGAAATTACGCTTGATAATGGCCTCAGTAACCTTTGGCCTCACATCCAGGCTAAACGTTTCACTTATCAAAATTCATAACTCTGACATAACCTACAATCAATCACTTGTTTCTATTTTACTACAACTTTACAGTAATTAGATAGTGTTAAATTAAATAAACAACCTCTACGTTTCCCTCAAAAGTGGATACATAGAAGGCGATATGAAACTTTTCACA